TCGCTCAGGGCCTGACATGGAAACAGTCACCCCAGAAGCTTTATGGTTCACCTGTCTCAGTACCTGCAACTAACTGGCTTTGCTCTCGAAGGTGGAACAAGGATGGCACTGTCACTGGTAACACCCCTGCCACCACTGCCACCACCAAGAAACCAAGAGACTTTCGGTGCCATGTAGCAGACATCAGTGATCAAGGACATTTTGAGCAGGTGGATGCCTAGGGGTTTCCCCAAGTTGTTCAGTTCCTTCATACTAAAGTGTACCTTTCCTTGGGTGTTTGGGAATTCTATTTTCAGTCTCGGGTGGCATCTTCCTGGAAATTGAGCAGCTTCTTCATGATCATCCTAATAAATTTTACTTCTGTGGCATAGCACAAATGTTTAATTCCTTTGTTTTCTATTAATTTATTAAATGTATCTATTAACTCCAAAATCAGCATTTCAAGAAAAACTGGGAACATCTGCAAAACTGAAAATGGTGGCAGTCCAAATATTTCACGCTTGTGAAAAAACTAAATGGTCTTGCCTGAAAGGTGGTTTACTCTATTGACATACATGAAAGTAGACTTTCTCTGACTTGTCCGTTCAAAAAATGGTTTAAGGTAGGCTGGAAAACACTGAACATCAAATATGATATATTAACTAATCCAGGTGATCTATTTATGCAAAAATTAATAATATAATAATGTTATTATTGAATTTTTAGTTTTTGAATATCTACTGTATGTTCTGCATTTTATTGTGCAGATGAGCCTTCTCAGAATGAGCCAACAGTCTGGCAGGTGAGGCAGATACATACATAATACCCATTCATGTCTTCATGCAATTAACAGGCATTTGCTGACTGTCAGGCATTGTATTATAAAAAATACAAGTGTTCTACCAGTAGCATTAGTAAAGTGCTGTTTAACTATAAAATTGAGAACAATTCAGAAATTAAGATTGCTCGCAGAGTGATGAAGAGGAAAAAGACATGGTCAAAGACAAACTGGCTGGAGTTAGTGGTCAAAGGAGCGTGGAAGAGAAGAGGGTGTCAAAGAAAGACTAGGCAGTGGAGCTATGTCACCAACTGAGCAGAGTTGGAGAGAAGGGGGCAGAGAAGGAGAGAAATTTAAAAAACACTGTATTCTGCTCTAAACATGTCAAGGTTGAGGCACAAATGGCATATCTAAATAGAGTTTAGGCTGCTGGAATTTGCACAACAGTGTTCTAGAAAGGAAGGAGATGTATGAGGGAGGATGCAGAATTCTGTGTAAAAGCTCTTACCAAGTACTCGTAGAGGCCTGGGCTGTGTGCACACAGGGTGAGTTTCCATAAGGCTCACAGAGAGTGGATTCTGGGGGGTAAATTTGTAAATGGAGAAATCAGGATTCATTCAGTGCTGACAGACACTGAAGTATGCACCCATCTGCCCATTCAGAGTGGACAAAGCTCTGTGAGTACCTTGGGCATTTGATTAATGTTCCAGAAGGACACACCAAAATAGTACCACAATCTTGAGTAAAGAACACACCAAATTATACCTGCCCCAGAGAAGTCTAAAAAGCCAAGCTTGAGAGGGTCAAAAGGATCTTCTAGTCATTCAATTTCCTTTCAAAATAAAACTCAACACTCAAAACTTTGCAATATAACCAAGACTCCCTAAAATCCAGAATAAAGAGGATGTAATTAAAGACCCGTGAAGAAGCCAGAAAATATCATCTATAATTAAGAGAAAAAGCAGCCAATAAAAATAGGTCCCTAGATATACAGATGTTAGAATTAGAAGATAAGATTTTTCAAACAGTTATTATAAATATTTTCATAGATTTAAAGGAAAAGATGAACAAGATGTGAAAGGAAAAGGGTAGACAAGATAAGGAATCTCAACAGAAAAGTGAAGTTTTACATTTTTATTCAATAAATGAAAAACAAGTTAAATTTAATTATTTCAATTAAAGAGAAGCAAATGAAAACTCTAGAACTAAAGAGTACAATCTTAACTAAAGAATTCAATAGATGGCTTTAATAGCATATTGGAAACTGCCAATTAGGTGTAAAGTCAATAAATTAAGATAGATCAAAATTATCAAAACCATGTAGAGAAAAAATTGAAAAAAAAATGAACAGAACCTAAGAAGCCTGTGGGACAATATTGAGTGACTCCACACTCATGAAACTGGAGTTCTAAAACAATACAAGAAAGAAAGTAGGGCAGAAAAATTCGGGATGGGTGGAGGCTGAAATTTTTACAAATTTAGTGATATTTTATTATAAAATTGTATTCCTAGTTCCAGTATTTTTAATTTTCACAAAACTGGGGCCTTTAAAAATGAGTGAATGCAAGTATCTTCTCCAGTTTGGTTGGTTGCCTTTTTGTTTTGTTGGTGGTTTCTTTTGCTGTGCAGAAGATTTTGAGTTTGATATAGCCCCATTCATTTATTTTTGCCTTTATTTTCATTGCTTTTGGGGTCAAATTCATAAAATTCTCCCAAGACCAAGATTTAAGTTTAGTAGCTACATTTTCTTCTATGTAATTTATTATTTTGGGTCTTATATTTATGTATTTGATTCATTTTGAGTTAATTATTGTATATGACAACAAACAATAGTCTAATTTCCTTCTCTTCCACATGGCTTTCCAATTTTCCCAGCAACATTTACTGAAGAGGCTTTCTTCTCTCCATTGTATGTTTTTGTCTCCTTTGTCAAAAATTATTTGCTCCTATACCTGTGGGTATATTTCTGGGCTCTCAATTCTGTTCCAGTGGTCTGTGTGTCTGTTCTTCTGTCAATACCATGCTGTTTTGACTATTGTGGTATAATTTTAAATCACAGAGTACAATACACCTGGCTTCATTCTTTTTTCTCAGGATTGCTTTGGCTATTCAAAGTCTTTTGTGGATCTCAAAGTGTATAAAGAATTCATACAACTCAACACCAAACAAACAATCCAATTAAAAAATGGGTAGAGACTGGCTGGTGTGGCTCAGTGGATTGAGCGCCAGCCTATGAACGAAAGGGTCGTCAGTTCAATTTCCAGACAGGGCACATGCCTGGGTTGCGGGCCAGGTCCCCAGTAAGGGGTGTGCGAGAGACAATCACACATTGATACTTCTCTCCCTCTCTTTCTCCCTCCCTTCCTCTGTCTAAAAATAAATAAATAAATATTTTTTAAAAAATGGGCAGAGAATTTGAACAGCACACTTCTCTCAAGGAGACATAAAAATGACCAACATACGTATGAAAATGTGTTCAACTTCACTAGCGAAATGCAAATCAAATCTACAAAGACCACCTCACACCTGTTAGAATGGCTATTTCCAACAAGACAAGTAATAACAAGTGTTGGAGCAGATGTAGAAGAAAAGGAAACCTCATACACTGCTAGTGGGATTGCAAACTGGTACACTCACTAGGAAAACAGTATAGAGGTACTTTTTTCTGGAGGGTCCTCAAAAAATTAAGAATAGAGTACTATATGACTCAGCAACCCAAAAAATCTGAAAACATTTATTGCAAAGATATGTGCACCCCTATGTTCATTGCAGCATTTTTCATGGTGGCCAAGACATGAAAACAACCAAAGTGTCTCTCAATAGATGACTAGATAAAGAAAATGTGGTGCATATATACAATGGCATACTACTCAGCCTTAAGAAAAGATGAAATACTGCAATTTGTGACAACATGGTTGTATCTTGAGAATATCAGGCGAACTGAAATAAGTCAGACAGAAACAGTCAAGAACTGTATGACTTCACTCATATGCGGGATATAAAACTGAAATCAAGAAATGAGCAAACAAGAAAAAAAACAAAAACTCATACACACAGGCAACAATATAGTGGTTACCAGAGGGCAGTGGGTAGGGAGAGTAATAAAGGGTAAAAGGGGCCAAATATATGACGACAGGAAAAGATTTGATTTTGGGTGGTAGGCACACGATGCAGTATACAGATAATATATCAGAGAATTGGTCACTTGAAACCTATATAATTTTATTAACCAATGTCAACCCAATAAATTAAATTTTTAAAAAATTAATGAATGAATAAATCAATGACAACAGCTCCACATTATCAGAAGAAAAGCCTTCCCTAGCATGGGTGGCCCTACTCTGAAGTTAAATCATGGAGGATTTCCAAGAGACTAAAGGATTGCGACTTAGAATTTATATTTCACTCTTATTAGAGATATAGGATAAAATTAGTATCCTTGATCTAAAAATGAGTCATAGGAAATGTGAAGAAGGCAAGATTCAGGACATTAAAAATCACAGCTGCAGTCTCGATAATCAACAAAAGAAAAGGTCTGGTGCTTCATTTACACTTTGGCCTGAAGAGCACAAATTATGCCCATCAATCCTGTAAAGTGAGTTTTCAATTTGTACACAGGAAGATGTCATTTACACACACACACACACACACACACACACTTTAAACCCAGTACACACCTCCCTCCTCTAACACGTGAGCACAGCAAGAACACAAAAGCTTTGCAAAGATGGCTAATCACACACGACATTTTTATAGTGGTGACACAAACAGATAAGAGGCATCTAATGTGTTGTGATATTAATTCTAGAAGGAAATATGAACAGTTTTCAATGCACAGCATCAAAATCTGTAGAAATACTATTTTCCTTATTTATAATAGGTTATATCTATAACCACTGATTGGCCAAATTTTCTCTTTCTTGCCTTACTTTGTCAAGAAGACAATGCTTCCTATAAAGATTTTCTGAAAAAAGTATTTTATCCTACTGGCCCATGGAAACAGTGTCCTTATTTAGTAACCTGAAGTTATGTCTCTTTTATGAGGCATAAAACTTCCTCAGCAAATAAACAACACTAATGAATGTTCATATGAAAACTGGCATCAACAGTGCTAAAGAAAATATCCGATGCCTTCTATAAATACCCATTTGGGGGCTGTATAAAAGTCCCAGGAGGAAAGGAGACTTTGGGAGTCAGGCAACTTGAGTTGTGCCACTAACCTCCATCCTTCACTTCTAAAAGGATGACTTCTGACTGTCCCCCAACATGCTGCTCTTCCGAGGCCTCTGCTGAGGTTTCTGATGGTGTAACTGCTTCAGCCTGTTTGGTGGAAACCACTTGTCTCCCCAGCGCCTGTGCTATGTCCAGGTGCCAGACCCCTAGTTTCCTATCCCGGCCTCTCTTGCCTACCAGTTGCCTGGTGCCATGCTACCTTGCTGGGAGCTGCCACATCCCGTGCTTGATGGGGAGCTGTGCCTGGTGCAAGGACAGGGAGTTCAACAGCAATGAGAAGGAGACCATGCAGTTCCTGAATGACAGACTTGCCAACTATCTGGAGAAGGTGCGCGGCCTGGAGGAGATGAACGCAGAGCTGGAGTGCAGGATCCGAGAGCAGTGTGAAGCGGACGTCCCCTTGGTGTGCCCCGACTATCAGGGTTACTTCAACATCATCGAAGATCTCCAACAAAAGGTCTGGTGTCTCACTGTCCTACTGCCTCACCTTCCCAGTCTGTGATCTGCTTTATCTTTATACTAGAAGAGGCTCTAGAAAGGAACCAGGGAAAAGAGACTTCCGAGTGGCAATGGGAGGCAGAGGAAAGGGCAATGGACTAAAAGTCAAGAAACAGCCTTGACCCAGGGCTGCCACTAATTATTAAGTAACCACAATAAACGCACGCACCTCTAGACTTTACCTTTATCATCCAAAGGATGAGGAAAAACTGTATTATATCTAAAATTACTTTGGTAACACTGTATCATTATTATGTTTAACAAAAGATATTGAAACGTCATCTTTTTAATCATATAATTTTCACCTGGTAATAATTTTCTTTCTGAGGAATTTTTATTTTCATGGATGGGGATATAATCACAATACAAACTCCTTATGGAGAAAAATGTAACTGAGTTCAACTGCCAGGAAACTCAGTTTCTTCACATAGTGGCACGTTTAATAACAAAAGCAGGCTAAAAACTACTTAATACTTTTTTGACTTTTCAAAGATAAATAATGGCATAGCTGTTAAGAGATATTTAGACTTCTTTCAAAGAATCATTTATTACTTAATAACTTACTTCCCAGATTTTGTGCACGAAAGCAGAGAATTCTAGACTTGCTATCCAGCTTGACAACTGCAAACTGGCGGCTGATGACTTTAGGTCAAAGTAAGTTTAATTTCAATTTGACTATAATTTATGGTTACATCTCTTTCTCTCTCTTTCTCTCTCTCACATGCACACACACACAAGCACATCATGGATATTCCCTACATAATATTTTTAAGTTAATAATGCTCGCAAAGCTCAAATTTATCATTATTTGTCATGTAAAAGAAGTTATAGCATGTGACTTCCTTGAGCCCATGCATCATTTGTTAGTATGTCCTCACGCTTTGCTGTGTCTAGCGAAGTAAGCATTGACTGGCTATATCTCTCTTGTTATAAAAGGTACGAGTCTGAACTGTCTCTTCACCAGCTGGTAGAGACCGACATTGGTGGCCTGCGCAGGATCCTGGACGAGCTGACCTTGTGCAAAGCCGACCTGGAGGCCCATGTGGAGTCCCTGAAAGACGATCTCCTTTGCCTTAAGAAAAATCATGAAGAGGTGAGGAAAGTGGCAAAATCACTCAAAGAATGTAAGACTGACAAATTAAATGGAGAGATTCCATGTGTGTATATAAGCTGACCTTGGGTCAGCGTTGCCAAGTTGGGACAAAATGACTCAAGGCACTATTACTACTTGGCCTGATCATTCCTATGTCTCTGAGCTAAACAGAGGAGCCAGACTCTTCACCTGCCATTGCTTTTGTGGAGAAGGCTGCTCCACAACTGTCTCCTTGGAAGCTTCATGCCACGCCTAACTCTAACCCATAAGGTGTGAAAAGTCAGGCTGGTTAAACACAGCGTGCGAAGGCCGCTTCGAAAAGGGGGTAACAACTCATGCAATATTTGGACCAATGTTTTTAAAGTGTTCTCTATCCATCGACTTCTTAAATGACAAAATGTCAAGTGTATGATTATCCTATATTGATGAAGCTAACAAGAGAGAAGCTGAATGATTTAACAAAGTATGTTTTCCCCTTGAACATTTGTTGATAATAATAGCAACTAGCACTTATTGAGGCCTTACTATGTACCCAGAACTTTGAAAGTGCTTTATATGCATGGTAACTCATATATCTCATAATAACTCTCTGGAACATAATTATACCCACTTTGCAGATGAAGAAACTGAGTAATGAAGAGATTCACTCTGGGCAACCTGAAACTAAATCCTACACTTTTACTCACTGCTCTCTAAAGCAAAATCAGATATCATGACTGTTGAAGTGACTTTTTCTCCACCGCTCTGTGACGTTCCTTCATTTCCACTTTCAGGAGGTCGACTTGCTGCGGGGACAGCTTGGTGACCGACTCAATGTGGAGCTGGACAGTGCCCCCATCATCGACCTCAACAGGGTCCTGGATGAGATGCGATGCCAGTATGAAACAGTGCTTGCCAACAACCGCAGAGATGTGGAAGAATGGTTCGCTGTCCAGGTCAGCTCCTGGAGCAGGAAAATGGCCGGCTTCCAGGCTTCTGCCTTGTTTGCATCCTCTAATCACGCCTGTGTTTCAGATGGAGGAGCTGAACCAGCAGCAGCTGTCCAGCGCAGAACAGCTGCAGGGCTGCCAGACGGAGATCCTGGAACTGAAACGCACAGCCAATGCTCTGGAAATTGAGCTCCAAGCACAGCAAAGCCTGGTGTGTAAGGGAAGGAGAGCTTTGTTTTGTCACTGAAGAATCAGGCCCTAACATGCCATCCTCTCTTCCATAACCCAAAGGACAGACTCACACAGCTCACATGGCATGAAGTCTGAATGTCCAGTTTGCAAGGGTTATATATTCTTGCCTTTTCCGAGTACCAGCTAGAAGCAGAAGTGAGAGTTCAACAGCTTGTACTGCCCCAGCAGGCTGTGCTGACCTTCCCCCTGGGGCTTGAGCATGATCCTGCAACGCCCCCCAGAGACGAGGAGAGAGAGGAAGGGCAGGAGTAGAACAGGAGACAAATCTCAGCCAAAGACACGCAAGCATTCCAGCGGGTTTTAACACTCTCTTGATTAGGGCCAATTTTCCAAGCTCACAATCAGATGTAAAACAAAGAATGCTAATCATACCTCGCGTTCAGCCGCTACCCTAGACTTTCCCAGAATCCACACCTCAACCAGATCCTTCGCTACAGCCCACTCCACCCAAGCAACAAGAATATTATGCGTTCAAGACCACATCACTCAGCTCCAGTCAAACGCCACTGTGTGCCGCGTTAGGTCCCGTAGAGAATATCTCAGTGAATAATAGCTGAGCATTCGCTTTGTCGGAGGCACAATTTAAGCCTCACGATAACTTTACGGGGTAAATCCCTTTATAAGCCCCATTATACAGATGAGGAAAACTGCAACTCAGAAGAGTAACAAGGGGCCATGCAATTTTTAAGAAGCCAAAGCGGAAGCTGAATCCCGGTGGTTCAATCCCAGAGCCTCTTCTCTTCACCACACCACGCCACTCCTCCCTGCCACAAGCCCCGACGCCTCCTCCCAAGCGCTGCCACTCCTCCTCAAGCTACACAAATACATTGCAGGTTGTGATGGTTCCGGTGGCGGTGGCAATAACTAACGCTTACGTAGCCCTTAGAATTCCCAAGGCACTGCTGTAAGTGCTTTACACCTACTGACCCATTTAACCTCAGAACTGTCCTAGGAGATCAGTACTTTGCATTGCCCACTTTTTATAGAATAAAACCGAGGTTCAGAGAAGCTAAGTAGCTTTCCTCAGAGATTATCCTACACAGCCCATTTTATACTCTTTCTTTCTGCAGACAGAATCTCTGGAATGCACCATGGCAGAGACTGAGGCCCAATACAGCGCCCAGCTGGCCCAGATACAGTGCATGATCACCAACGTGGAGGCCCAGCTGGCGGAGATCCGCTGCGACCTGGAGCGGCAGAACCTGGAGTACCAGGTGCTGCTGGACACAAAGGCCCGGCTGGAGTGCGAGATCAGCACGTACCGGGGCCTGCTGGAGAGCGAGGACTGCAGGCAAGTTCCACACAACTATTCTCAAAATCGCCTCGAGCTACAAAGAGGCTCATGTAGGAGAATCCTGTTCCCCCCAAGACCTGGCCAAGGTCAAACCTCCCTAATATGTTAAAGGATCTTAAAAGTGATGAAAAGCAGCTGACGCTAATCACATGGCCACAGAAATGTTCAAAAATATTCTAAAGTTATAAAGCAGAATAACCACCATTATAGAACATCTCATGCTGGGGCTCTGTCTCCCGTTAGAGGGGAGTCAGGAACATGCATCAGATGGCATGTGCACAGGGAAGAAAGTACGTGAAATTTTATTCGACCGTCGCTGCTGCAGTGAGCATGGGGCGACAATGCTGGGTCCAGGGATGTCAGGCAGGGGCCAAACGCCATCCTGCAAAGAGCGTGTCCTTCAGAACATAATTTGCAGTGCAAATTTTGTCATGATTTTTTCTGAGTTGACGTTTTATCCCGCTTTCCCTTATTTGGCTTCATTCCAAACGGATTTTCCACAGGCTTCCCTGTAACCCATGCTCTACAACAAGTACATCAAGCAACACATGTGAGCCGTGCTCAGCATATGTCCTTTGCACAGTCGAAAACCACTGTGTGTGAATCCTCAACGCCCAGCGCGGATGGTGGAGTTGCAGCCAGCAGCGCCCTGAAAGGGAGACAGGGCTTCCGCCAGGACATCCAAATCTGAAAGTCAAGTCAAGAAGGCTTTCATAACCGGAGCTGTCCTCTGAGCATCCTTGGTATATTTCTGCTCTGTCATTTCCTCTCCTGCCTGCTTATTTGTGATATCCTAGGAGTCTGTAAAGCTTTCCTGCTACTCGTCAAATAAAATACATTTCATTCCTTTAGCGTGGTAAATAGAGCTTTGTGGCTCATTACTGTTGCTATAATAACCATTTGATGCCAAGGTGATTGTCTAAACCCATGCCAATAGTTTGATCTTACATAACCCTAAGGTAAAAATGTTCTTTAACTCCTAAAATACAAAGAGATTAATCCATACAAAATGTGAATATCATAAAAGATAGCTGTATGTATCTTTCTGAGAGGAAACTTAGAAATAAAATATAATAAATTTCATTTTATTTTTAATTATAAAATATTAGAGTCCTTTCTTTTTTTTCCAATTTGGCACATGAAGCGGGGTGGGGATTAAGCCATAATTCCATACCTTTAACATCCATTGTCAATATTTTGGGAATTTACAAGTTTTCTTTCTTATAATAGGTTTTTCTATATAATGTATCACAGTTACCTATACATATAGTTGTGTGACCTATTGTTTTGGCTATGTCACCTAAGCATTTTCAATCCTAATGGATATACAAGGGGGGAGGCTAAAAATCCAGAATTTATTTATAAAAAATTGTGTATTTATTCTTATATGTTTAAACTTCAGTCACCTTCAAAGTGCTCTCCATTTGATACAACACTCCTATCAAGACCTTTTTTCCCACTGCTCAAAACATGTTTTGAACTCATCAATTTTTGTTCATTTTAGTGTTTCTGCTGTTTTTTTTTTTTTTTTTTTTTTTACCTATTCCACATCAGCAAAACATTTCCCTTTGAGGACTTTTTTCATCTGGGAAAACAAAAAAAGTTGCTCAGGGAGAAAAAAAAAGTTGATCGGGTGACTAGGGAGGGAGGAGAATAGGGGGTCATGCCACTTTTGGTCAAAATTGCTGAACACTCAGTGCAGTGTGGGCAGGTGCGCTTGTCAATCACCCATTGTGAAATGGGCAAACACATTGAAAGAGTCTTCAAAAAAATTTTTTTGCTGAAGCCAAACACAGCCTCTCACAACAACGCCAGCTGGTACACTGATACAGATGGGTTCCTATAACACTCACCTAACAGGGGAAGCCTGTTCTACAAGGGGCCCACCCTCCAGAAGACAATTCCAGTTTGGGAGGGAGTCTCTCTTCATGTAAGATCCTCCTGTGACCATCATTTTAGTGGCTGCATAAAATACCATAAGGTACATTGGTTTGTTATCAGGCATTTAGGATATAAGAATAATTATTCGCACACATATAAAAAGCAAACTTTCACTTCCAGAAAGATAAAGTAGAGGCACATATCCCCATTCCTCTTCCTAAGTATGACTAAAAACCCTGGAAATTTCATATACAAACATACGCAGACTCTGAAAGGTGGAAGAAGAGGCCAGACCATCTAGACTCCTTGTTATCCAAGGCACAACACTGTGGTGAGCTTCCTGGGTTTCCCTTTTTCTCCTCCATCCCGCAGTGGGAACCGGAGAACCAACAATGCAGAAACACCAACAGCTGCAAACAGAAAAGGGAAAAAAAATATCCATAAAGAAGCGAGTAAAAGGAGGATGTGAGGTAAGATTTCTATTCTTCACTCGGAGTGACAAAACGTCAGCATCCGTAGGCTGAAATAAGTTACATACAGGTACATGTAATGTAATACCTAAAGCAACGACTTAAAAAGCTATGCAAATGAAACTTAAAATGCTATAAATAAATAAAAGCGGCATTCTAAAATATATTCAAGCAACCCACAGAAAGGCGGGAAGAAGAAAGCGGAGAAATTTAAAAAACAGAGGGAACAAGCAGAAAACAAAAAATAAAATGCAGATGTAAAGCCCACCATACCAGTAATTACAGCAACTAGAAATCATCTAAATACAACAAATAAAGGACAGAGAATGGCACAGTGAATTAAAAAAACGAAATACTTTCCACAAGAAGCTCGCTTCAAATATAACGATAGGGGCAGGTTACCAGAGGGCAGGGTGAGGGCTCGGGCCACTGGGGAGCTGTGGGGTAGAAGGACCGAGCAGCAAAGAAAAAGGACGCATGGACATGGACAACCGTGTGGTGATTGCAGGGCCGGGCGGGCGGATGGAGGTGGGAGAGAAAATAAGGGGAAGAAATGGTAATGGGAAAATACAATTTAAAAAAAGTAAAAGGATTGAAAAAAATACACAATTGTTCATAGCAGCTTTATTTGTAATAGCCAAAACTGGAAACAACCAAAATGTCCTCAGGATCTGAAGGCCCCCATGGTGAGTGAAAAAAGAGAGTCTTGAAGGGTCATATACTGCATGACTCCATTTACATGACATTCTTGAAATGATAAAATAGATGGAGAACAAATTAGGCAGAGCGTGAAAGAGAGCTTCGTGGTGATTAAATAGCTGCGTATCTTCATTGCCATGGTGGTTACATACATCTATACATGTGAAAAAAATTACAGAGAACTAAGCACACACATCATATCAATTTCCTGGTTTTACAATTGTACTATCGTTGAGTGAGATATAACCATATCTTTGCAACTTCCTGTGAATCTATAATTTTTTTTAAAAAAAAGCAGTGGAAGCTGGAGAAAAGTTCTCCTCTATTCTATTTCTATTTTTTGAGCACTCAGAAATAAAGTACATAATAATAAGAGTTAATACAGGGCAGGTTTAAAGAAAAGTCAAGTTTCAGACCTAAAATTTTGTGCTAGATTTTTTTTTTACAGTGCACTCTCCTGGTTTAACAATAAAAGGTAATGGAAACACTTGAAATAAAATATTTCCCAGATAAATAAACCCATGAAATAGTGTTCAAATCCCATTACTCCTCTGACAATGAGATTGGGGAGAAATTTAATACTGTAGTGTCATAAAATCACTAATTTGACCCACATGGAAATTTCTACCAAATAAACCTCCCATCACCTGTTCTCTGCATTTCTCATGGTTTCTTTTCTGCATGGTTTAAAATTATGGTGAAATAATAATTTTGTCTAACAATTTCCCCAGCATCTAAAATTTCCAATGTACTATATCCAATTTCCTTTCAAAAAGATACACATGACTACCTTCCATGATATAAAACATTTTGCATGATTACTCTATTTGTATTTTAAGAGTTAAAAATATTTTCACCTTAGGTCTATGCAAAATCAAAGTAGAACTGAAGTAGAAAAATATCTTTAACATAAGTTGCCCACTTTGGGGGCTCTCGTATTACTGTTAGCCTGTCACATTTGTTTGTACAGTTTTTGCATAGTATTGTACCAACTATTATGTTAAAGACATAGGTTAATTTTAGATCCGTCTGTTTCTTGGGTTAGTCACCCTCTTCGCAGTAGAGTGAGGATGGGCGCACTCAAGTTTTTCTGACTATACTGCTCTACCCAAAGTTTGATAACGAAAGGAAGGAAGAAGCTCCCTTCAGGGAGGAAGTGCTTCATAGTTCAGGTAACACGTGTTTTAGGATCAGGTAACATGCAGTTACAGGGAGAGGAACATGGATCAAGCAGTAAAGAAAATGTGAAAGATTCAAGAAAAGCAGAGTAAAAGTGGTGAAATGTGGCCCCGAAGGAATCAAAGAAGAATCAGCTCCACAGAACAAAGAAAGCAGCCAGGTGTCAGGGGAAAGAAGGAAACCCCACCTGCGAGACACAAGAGGAGGAGGAAAATGATAAGGTGGAGAGAAAGGTACAAAACAGAAACATTAAATAGTTTTCCAACTTTTTTCTGATTCTGAAAGCGATGCATTCAATTTTTAGAATGCATATATAAACTTAAAGAAAAAACCATTTATCAGTCATTATAAAATGCAGAGAATTCCACTCTGAACATTTAGATATATTTCCTTCCAGTCTTTTCTCTGTGTTTTTAGAAGTATGAACAATGTCAAACACTGTTATTTTTTTTAACTTCATTAATATTGTTGGCACTATTACAGTAGCATCAAGTTTATCCATTTATCATGGCTTCTTGATTTCTTGCTAAAAAAGGCAGTGACTCAAATGTATACTTCTCTGAATGTATAAAAGAATTCTCCTGTTTCCTTTTAGCACATGTATAATTTCTATTTTTCACAAGTGAACATTTGATCCATTTGTAATTCAAGCATATAAACAAAATAGCATTCATACAGCTACAGAGCTGTGTCTATCTGAAATTTTTATGTTAACCATATTTTATCAGGATATAATTTTACACAATAAACTGCATCAATTAAAAGGATGAAGCTCCATGAAGTCTGAAGAACATACACAGGAGTCACCCAGATACAGACCAGAAGACCACAACGTAGAACGTCAGCCTTGAGAGTTCCTCAGGCTCCTTCCCAGCCAACTCGCCTCCTCCAGAGGGAGGCAGCTATTATTCTGATACCCACCACTGTAGAGGAGTTTAGCTTGTTCTTAAAGTTTTCATAAATGTAATCATACCATTTATATTGATTTGTATCCTACTTCTTCAGGTCAACACATTGTTTTCTAGGTTCTTCCATTCTGTTGTGAGTACTAGTAGTTTATTCTATTTTGTTTTTGAGTGCTATTCCATTACACATATATACCACCATTTGTTGAACCATTACCCTGCTTATGAGTAGTTGGGCTGTTTCCATCTTGAGATAATAAGAATAAAGCCTTCTTATACAAGTCTTTTTTTGTATATACACTCATTTCTCTTGGGGATATATATAGTCATAAAATTGCTGGGTCATAGGGTAGGTCCTTTGTCAGACACGTTGAGAATAGTTTCACCCAGCATGTGGCTTGCCTCTTAGTGGTATATCTTAGTCAGCAAAAGATTTTAATTATAATGAAGTTTAATCCATTTTTTTATGATTAGTGTTCTCCATGTGCTACACACAAGATTATAAAGATATTCTTCTTTATTTTCTTTTAAAAACTTTGTATGTAAAACCTTTGCATTTAAGTGTTTCTAATTCTCCTTGAATTAACTGTTATATATAATATGAGGCAGAGCTCAAGATGTACTAACTTCGGTACAGTTATATGACTGATTCAGCAACATTTATTTAAAAGGCTCTCCTATTCTCTGTGACTTACTTTGGAAATGTCAAAAATCAATGACTACATATACATCAGTAAATTTGTAGACTCTGCATTCTTTTTCACTGATCTATTTGCCAACACCACACTGCTTTGATTGCAGTATTATTATAACTTGTACAAATTTACACTCCCACCATCAATAAATGAGAGGCTGTACACAACACAATGCATTTGTTATCAAACTTTGATTTTTTTCAATCTGATGGAAAACTAAAATATCTCAATGTAGTTTAAATTTACATTTCCTTTTATTATGAGTAACATTGAGCACTATTTCTAAGGCACTTGAAAAAAAATGTCTTTCATATTTTCTTTCTGGTCACTGTCTGTGGTGTAATTGCAAATATTCTTTCCCAGTTTGTCTTCTGATTTTGTAGGTTGTATTTTTTACCCATGCACAAGTTATTTGATGTAGTCAAATTTATGTTTTTTATGTTTTCTTAATTTTGAGACATTATTGGAAAGGCCTTCTGAATGCAAATTTATAAAAGATTCTCCTTTTCTTAGCAATTTATGATTACATTTTTCACATTTGACTCTTTGATCAGTTTGTAATTTGCCCTGCTGTGTGGTATGACCGCACACTGCCAGCCCTGTCCCCCTCCCCCAAGAAATACAAAATTGTCTTCAAACTACATGTGATAATCTGTCTTTCCCCATTGACTTAAACGTCACATTTACCATATGCTAAGTCACAATCTATTTGGGAGTCTATTTCTAGACTGCTTATTCTATTCCATTAGTCTGTCTAATGACATAATTACTGAGGCTTTAAAATAAGTTTTAATATCTAAAAGGACAAGTTTCTCTGTGGCTTTCCTTTTTCAGAATTTTCTTGGCTATAATAATTTGTTTACTTTTTTCTCATAAAACTTGTTTTTGTTCTCATAAAACTTAAGAATTATCTTCTCTAGTAGAAAAAAGTCACTTTGAGGGGACCGCAATGAATTTATTGGGCTCTAATTTGAATTAATGTAGAGATAATTGACATTTTTATGACTATAGCATTTCAGGTCAAGAATATGATGTCTTTCAATTTATTCATGTAGATCTTGTACCTTTCTAACTAAATTTACTCCTGCACACTATACATCTGTTGGCACTATTATAAATTATGGGGTTTTTTTCCTTACATTGTGTGATATGCAAAATGATGGGCTTCCAAAGATGTTCGTGTCCTAATCCCGGAAGCTTTGTATATGCTGGCTACATGGCAATGGGGAAGTAAGGTTGTTCATCAGCTGACCTTAAAATAGGAGAATTATCGTAGATGACATGAGTAGGCCCAATATAATCACAAGAGTCCTTAAACGTGGAAGAGAGAAGCAGAAGAGTCAGTGTCGGAGTGACGCCTGTGAGAAACACTCGCCTTGCCCCTGCAGGCTTTGAAGACGGAAGGGGCCATGAACCGAGGAGTGGGGGCAGCCCCCAGAAGCTGGAAGAGGCAAGGAAATTATTCTTTCCTAGAACCGCCATAAAGGATCAGGAACTAATAACTTTCCTTGTTTTTACTTATTTATTGTTGTTCAGTTACAGTTGTCCCATCTCTTTCTCCATAGCTCTTCCCTACCCCATCCCCCCCACTCCCGCAGTCAATACCCGCATTGTTCGTGCCCATGAGTCCTCTATTTGTGTTCCACTGCTTGCCCCTTCCCTTTCTTTCCCCTGCTATTCCTCTCCCCCTTCACCTCTGCTTTCTTAAGAAAATGCTGAGTTACTATTCCTGAGAAAGAACACATACCTTTCAACAGATCATATTTAAACGCCAAATATAAACCAACGCCATCACAAATTTTTAGCTATTGTAATTCCAAAAGCAAACACTGAGCACTAAAGATGTTATCAAATGTGGGCTTTGGAAAAAATAAAAGGTAACCAGCCTCTTCTTCAAGAAGTTTCTTGTTAGCAATCAAACACTACTTGGAAAGCTAAAACAGAAACTTAGCCATTACCTTTAAGAAGAGCCTATGTAAAACTAACATTTTAATCCACACTCACAACAAAAAATGGGGGAAACAATTGGGCAGAATAAAGAAGAAAACAACGAGAAAATCAAACAGTGAGGACAAAATAAAATATCGATTTCTAAGTCCACACCAATAATTAGTAGATATTAATAGTTTCCCTTTTCTGGAAAAGAAAGGAAAAATAAATGGACTCATTCCTGGTCAAGATCGATGCCAGGTGCAGAGGTCAACAAGGACTTAATGAGCCCAGTATACTCATACCTACTTAATAATGGGTGCTGCTAGAACTGTGACGGCAACTCCTTTGAAGAAATAGTGTGAAGCTCTGAGTCCAATGACAAGTAGTAGTTGTGATGGGTAATAACTCAGTTAACAGCCTAAATGCACATTTTTATGAGACAGGTAACTCTTCTCAGGCAAGTCAAGAGCAGACTAATGAGATGTTCCTATGGGATTTGATACAAACATTAGAAAGGAAAACATCCTCCCTGCCGTGACACCACCTAGAGGGGAGGCTATATAAGTCCTTCCAAAAGGAGAAAGCCACCAAAGGCTCAGGATTTAGACTCAGCCACAATAGCTCAAGCTTTCCACCCAGAGGAACCACACACTTTGAAATAAACCAAAGCTGGGCACACACTATGGATACCAAGGACTGTTCAACGACGATTTCTTCTTCAACGCCATGCCAAAGCCGCTCTAGGATTACCAATTTCAGGATCATTTCTTCTAACGCCAGCTGCCAGTGTGGTGGTCTTGAAGCCAACAGCTGCCAACCAACTGGCCATGTTCTGAGAACTTTCCAGTCCCGGGGCTGCCAACCGACTTCCTGCTTTTGTCCCATGCCCACCTGCTTGATAAGCAACTTCGGCGCCTGTCCCTCTGTGGATGATAGCGGCTGGTGTGGCGAAGGCATCAACAGCAATGAGAAAGAAACCATGCAAATCTTGAATGACCGCCTTGCTAGCTACCTTGAAAAGGTGCGAATGCTAGAACAAGAGAACACTGAACTGGAGTGTAGAATCCAGGAGGAGTGTAACAAAGAGCGTCCTGTCATATGTCCTGATTACCTGTCCTACTATACCATCGTTGAAGAGCTCCAGCAGAAGGTAAGATTCTTAGCAACCTGTATCATCAAGTTTTGTACTGACATTCTCCAAGCAATAGTCATTTGCTAAACTTTAATATCTTCACTTCCTTTTATGTTGAAAAAGATTTTGTTGAGTAAGAAAAGGTTTTGAATGAAATTGTCATCTTGATGCAATATTCAGGGTTATATTCATAGTTTTTCATATTCCAGAGATATACTCTACTATTATTTTAACCAGGTGACTCGGGGCCAAAATGTGTTAACAACACATGGCTGCCATTTCTTTAACAGAAATAAGAAAACAGGGATCCAAGAAAATGAGTTTTGTTTTAATAAGTTTCTAACTAGTTTAACTTTTATCCACATTTTAACCATCACCACTTTTTCCATTTGATGCTTTTTTCATCATCTCCCAATTGTTCAAATAGTTTTTTTCCCACACCAAACCTAACTTTCCTCTTCACAGTGATATGCATGTTGTTGCTACATGTGTTGGACTTACCGTATTTCACCACGTATAGTGTGCATCACGTTTTAGTACTGATTCCCACGTATAATTTGCATATATGTTTTAGTACTGCCCATGTATAATGCACACCTTTGTTTTTCCCTCAAAAATTTGGGCAAAAACGTATACGTTATACACGGCAAAATACTGTATTCTTGTTGGGGTTTTTTTGCATTGTTTTATTAGTTTAATAAATATTTACTGAGCACAACAACAAGGCACCAGATACTATTTTAGGCTCTGGGAACATATTGGTGAACTAAAATGTCCCTTCCCTAAAGATGTTTACATTCTAGTAGATCATGGTATGTTATGCAAATTTAAGGTGGATCTTATATTTTAATGGTAAAACATCTATTCACGTTTTTATTAAAGTAATTTTTGCTTCACATTTTGGAAAATAACAAAAACTCTGATTTTCCAAAGTTGCCCAAACTTCTTAAGCATAGCCACGAAAAGCCTTCCCCAGTTAACTGAAATACACACCAGCCCCTTGGTTTTTAAGGAAAGGATCTTGGTGTTTGTCTCATTTGTGTGTACAACTTCTTAATTCTAGATCTTGTGTACCAAGGCTGAGAATTCCAGGCTGGTCTCACAAATTGACAACACCAAACTGGCTGCTGATGACTTGAGAGCCAAGTAAGCCCACCCAACACTGTCATTCATGACAGAAGTCACCCTGCGTTTGACGCTAAACTCCCAACAAGATTATCCACAAGCCTACTAACCCTCCTACCCATACCACGATGGCACTAGCCCAGAAGAGACCTTCAAGTACAATAAAGTATTGAGATTAATAACCACTCGCATGTATACAGTACCTGTAGTTTCTAACATATAAACCCATCTGATTACCTGTCGAATAGTTTAGTCAAGTAGGTAGGGCAAGTATACTGTTACCCCATTTAAGGTGAGAAAACTGGCTTAATTGGGTTCAGTTACTTATGTAAAGGCAAGCAACCAGTACAAGGTAGAGCCAAAACTTGGATGCAAGCTCTCTTATGTCCAATGTTCTTTCCACTTACACGGCATCACCTCTAGGGGCAGGCGAAGGAGGATTAATTCCCTCATCTCAAAGAACAGCAATGCAGCATCACTCCGGCAAACAAACACAGGGAATAACAATTAAGCGGTGATGTTTATCAAAAGATTTCACCTTTGAAGAAAATTAAATACATAAGAGAAATACAGTAAATGAGAGGCCCGGAAGAAAATGCAGGAGGAAGTTCTGTTTGGCCTGATTTATACCACCTGAATTTTAATGTCTTTCACTTCGTGCCTCATCTTTAAAGGTATGAAGCTGAGGTGTCTCTGCGCCAGCTGGTGGAGGCAGATGCCGGCGGCCTACAGCAGATCCTGAACGCACTCACCCTGGGCAAAGCTGACCTGGAGGCACGAGTCCAATCCCTGAAGGAGGAGCTCCTTTGCCTTAAAAACAGCCATGAAGAGGTTAGAGAAAACCCCACCTAGGCCTCCAAAAACAACACTGATTCCTTTGAACCGAACTTGGCAAAGGGTGTTCCCTCTAGATACTCTTCTGTTTTTTAGCCCTGACAATACCTGCTATTACTACCACTGGTTCAATGTGTTTCAGATCCATTGTCTCTAACACAATGTCTGAAGCCTCCACTGTCCTCTCCAGCTTTTCCAGAAGAAGAAAGTAACCCAATTTTATTATCCTCATAGGCTTCCCATCTTTTTTTTTTTTTAAGGTTTTATTATTTATTTTTAAAGATGGGAAGGGAGGGAGGAAGAGGGAGAGAAACATCAATGTGTGGTTGCCTCTCACGCGCCCCCTACTGGGGGCCTGGCCTGCAACCCAGGCATGTGCCCTAGACTGGGAATTGAACTGGCAACGTTTTGGTTCGTAGGTCGGCCCTCAATCCACTGAGCCACACCAGCCAGGGTGGCTTCCCATCTTTTTGTAGGCAACCCTACACAGATTCCTCCCACAACTGGTATAAATCGATATTGGCATAAGCCTATATTGACATCAGAGACTATGATCTCTCATAAATTCCACCTCTATGCTGCCTCACCCATTACCCATCCCTGGAAATCATCTAAATTCTTTAAACCCCTGACCTTGCTAGTCACTTCTTTTTAATGTTGCACATATTTGAACACATAGTCATATCTGAAATAGCCTTAAGTCATTTTATAGCATCTCAAATGCAACTATGAATCATGTATTCCTTTATTGTGGGCTATATTTCAGATGCAATTAAGCTAAATTATTGCTGTTAGGCAGAAGCAAGGACACAAGGAGGTCATCTGTTCACCAAGTGACTTCACACTCTTTTTCCTTCCATAGGAAATCAGTTCCTTACAGAGCCAGCTTGGGGACAGACTCAACATCGAAGTGACTGCTGCCCCTTCTGTCGACCTCAATCGGGCTCTGCAAGAAATGAGATGCCGATACGAGTCTGTCATGGAGACAAACCGCAGAGACGTGGAACAATGGTTCACCACACAGGTGGGGAGGGGAGCAAAGGCGAAACCCAGGCGTTGACAGCGCCCTTCCAGGGGCCCTGGAAGCACAGCTATGTTCTCCTTCACGATATCCACAGCCTTTGACTGTGTTTCAGATGGAGGAGCTGAACCAGCAGGTGGTGACCAGCTCTCAGCAGCAGCAGAGCTGCCAGAAGGAGATCATCGAACTGAGACGGACCGCGAATGCTCTGGAGGTCGAACGGCAGGCCCAGCACCGAATGGTACCCGGCAAACGCCCGAGCTTAGTGCGCCAGTGATGGCAACAGCCCCTGACACGCGCATGCTGCAGTGGTTCCCAAACTGCATCCCTCAGAACAACAGCTCCTCTGTCTGTTACAGGGTCTATGGCCAGAAAAGGACGTGCCGGTCAAATAAGCCCGGGAAATGCTGGATTAAACAAAGGTTAAACAGGGGCTTTCCTGTGGGCCTTTAACAAGCTGATACCTATCGTGCCTCCCCAAGAAGCGGATAAGTGGTATCAGCATTCCAAAACTTATTTGACTGTGGACTCCTTTCATAAAGAATATCTCATTGCAATAAGGAGCCATGAATGCACTTTGGGAAACACTAAAAGAGAATTTTATTTTATGCAAGGCATTTTTACAAACTATCAAATTTATAAAATAACCTTCTGAGGGAGGTGGCATAATTATTAATCCAGGTTTACCGATGAGGCTCAGAGAGGTGAGGGGATTTTCCCCAAGCCAAACTCAATCTCACCTATTTTATAGATGGGGACACTGAGATCCTAAGGCATTAAGTCACAAAAGAAAGAAAGTCGGGGCCAGAGTTCAGGTTCCAAAGTTAGAGCTGATTGCGCTTCTCAGAAGTAAAAAATATTTAAATGCTCTGATGCGAAGGATATTAGGGAGAACTTGCCCCAAGGCTGGCTTTATCACCAGCTAGTCAGGTGTCTGGGGGCAGCTCATTTAAGCTCTTGAACCTCAGATTCCTCATCTATAAAAAGTGGGATAATCATGCAAATAATAGGTTATACTAAAACCTAAAATTCCATTATCCATAAAACTTACAGAATGATAGAGCGGGAAGGAACTTGAGTCATCCGAGGTTCAACTCATATTTGACATATAAAAGAATGGATCCAATGAGGGGATTGTTTATGGCTAAACGCTGCTCACTTCCTTTTTAAGGTACAGACACTCGTGGGGTACCATGGTAATGGGTGTTTAACTCCTCGGGTGAAATAAGTTAGAATATTTTTTCTCTCATAGGTAAGAAAGTGTGGTAGATTATCAAGCGAGTGAGAAACAGAAAGATAGTGGCACTTAAAGGGAAGCAAAAAAAAAAAATAGAGGATAAAGGGAAGCAAGCTTCAGTATAGCTGATAATTTTGCTTTTGGATTTACTTGGTTAGGAGATAATAAGAGGGCTTCAAGATTCATTAGTACCTGTTACGAAGGAACCACTGTTGAAATGGTACAGGCCACAAGGGACCTGGGCTTAAGGTGTCATCGTTCTAAATCCTCCTTTCCTCCTGCATGGCAGAGAGACTCCCAGGAATGCATCCTGGCGGAGACAGAGGCCCGCTACACGGCCCTGCTGACCCAGCTCCAGGGTCTGATTGATAACCTAGAGGCCCAGCTGGCCGAGATCCGATGTGCCCTGGAGCGGCAGAACCACGAGTACGAGATTCTGCTGGACGTCAGGTCCCGGCTGGAGTGTGAGATCGCCACGTACCGCCGCCTCCTGGAGAGCTCAGACTGCAAGTACGTTAAGTAAAAACATCTTTATGAAAAAGACACTCACACGCACGTACGTACCATTGCTGCAACCAGACGATAGATGCTTTGATCTGACCAGTGACGGGGGCTTTGGATCGAAGGGTCCATACACCCTCTCAGGCCGTGCCATTCAGAGACTGACATTTATAACCTCGTCTAGCTTAGCTGTTCTTTTGAGGAATCCATGTGCCCGGTTAGTTCTTTATAGGTTTTTTTTTTAGCTTCTCAGAGTTTTAAAAATTACTAGGGGAAAAAAATGGTTTCTTTAAAGATGGACATTCTTGGTGACTTACAGATTGTCCCCCAAGGTGGACGTCTGAATTTCATGAGCTCGGACAGGACAGGCCTGCTCTCCTTGAAGGACCCGCCCCGGCTGAGACACCTGCCCCCTGTCTGGCCGCCTGTCCTTGATGCAAAAGTATCATGTGCATATGTGTGTTTTGACACATTTTTACAGATGTTGTCATGTTTTTAAGTAATAAGAACCCAGAAGAACCTAGAGCATGAGCTCTTTGAAGCAACTCAGTCCAAACGAACACTCCAAAGGCAAAAGTTACGATTGTTAAAAAGACCTCCCTCTCTAAAATAGCCAATGAAGTCTGTTCATAGAGTTCTTCTAACTGCCACATTCAAATTATGTCACCAACACAATGTTAACCAAAGCCACGACCTTGAGGGGCCACAAGATACCAAAGGACCTCGAATCATCAGAGAAAGATGATGCTTTCTGAAAAGAGCTCTTGCTGCCTCTAATTCCAATTCTCGAAAGATTATGCACTTATAAACACAGCTGGAAGGCACTTCGGAGCTTCCTGAGGAAGTTTTGAGAACTCTTCCATACACAGGGTTCAGGCCACCAGTAGTACTGTGATTAGCTCTCTGATAAGAAAATATCTGATTAACTTCCTTTCCTCACAGAGTAAGCCCCTCGAGGTGTCCCTTGTCACTATGGATCGCGTAAGTTTAGTTCCCATTGTATCCATTCTGCAGAGGAAAAACCAGAGTCAGGAGAACTGTCTGAGGGCACAGCTGGTAGACAACAGCTGGACCTCTCCCAGCCGAGGGCTGGAGGCGCGGCGCTGACACAGGGCCGCCGCGCGCTGCAGTGCAAGCCCACACAGCCCAGTACTTCTAACCTAGGATGCCGCTTTCCCGCGGGTCTGGTCTGATTCTCTTTCTTCCACTAACGACAAAGTGAGAGAACAAGTATTTGTTTTGAATGACATGTGTTGGAAAATTAACCACCGCCATTTTTGCCTCTCGCAATCACAGGTAAAATTCTGGTTTTTTTTCTAGGCTTCCCAGTGACCCATGTGCCACCAAATGTGAGCCTTCCATCTGCACTGCCCGTAAGGCCAGAGCCATGGAATGCACAGTCCCCGTTTACGCATCATCCTCAGCGCCCTGTGCGACACCCGAGCCCTGCGGTGCCTGCAGAGTCCTGACCCCGCTACTGGCTAAAATCCGCACCATCACCAAGGAGATTAAGGACGGGAAAGTCATATCCTCTTATGAGCATGTGCAGCCTTGCTTCATCATCAGGGCTGCCAGAGCCTAACTTCCCCAGGTGATGAAAATGGCCCTCACTCACGAAAGAAAGGCCAATACTTGTTCCTGCCAGAAAGGTTTAAGAATTCCCCTGCCCCTTCAGGTACTTAGCTTCTTTCTACCACAGCAGGTCCTCATTGACAGAATGTCTTTTGTTCTGCTCCTTCCCCAAGACTTTGCTGCCAACGTGGTGATAGCTGACATTCTCTGGAAGCACATTTCACATTTATCTGAGGAACGAGCACTGATTTGTAAGTGCCCAAGAAGGTGACCTACTTTGCTGCCCACAAGTGATGGGCAGGTTTCTCTTTGTTTATTCAGGTCTTATTTACTTACGTTCCTCATTAGAGCCAGTCAGACAAGTTCTAGAATTGTTTTTGGCTGTGGCACATGAAGGTGAAAAGCTACAACCTTCCTTTCTTAACTCCTTCTTTGGAAATAGAAAGAAGCTTATATGAGAACAGCATGAATAGAGAAAAAGTCCTTTAATATTTCATTTCTTTAAATAGATTGTCACAAATCTGAATCCTGTTGAACTCTGTTGTCCTAATTACTGTGTACCTATACTTACATACTGCATCTTCCCCAAGATATTTTTAAAGATGTCCATGTTCTCCAAAACTTCGGGAACCATAAGGCTCTCCAAATGCCTTCACTGAAAATCTGGAGCAATTGTGGGGAGTGAATCGGAGCATTTTGAAGAAATAGCGTGGATCCTCTCATTAAATGTTCGCTATGTCTCTTTCTATCCTTTAGGGAATGGGATTTGGTTCTGATTGTTTTACAAGGGACTACATGTAGCTGGAACTCTCAAGACATAACCCTGCTGATTATGAAAAAATAACTTACCTGCCTGCTTCAGTCTGTCTACCAGAGAGAAATGGACTTAATATTCATAAACTTTGCAAGAAAGTAATCACAAATAATTGCTACTTGCAAGCACAAGGCAGCCCTAGAGCGAGGAGACATTGTTCACGCCCAGCCATTGCCAAAGCTTCCTACAGGAGGGTCACAGCCTGTTTAAGTCATTTCCTAAAAAAATTATTTGACATTTCCAGAGGTTTTAGTAAAGAATTCCGAATCAGAGAACGTGGTGCCAGAAAGCCTGAAGTCCTAAACTTGCCACTTCCTAACTGTGCCCGTGGGCACAACCTTGAGCCTTCATCAAACTTAATTTCCTTGTATTTTAAATGTGCAGATTAAATGAAACTGTTTGTGTAATGCTGCTTTGTACTTAAAAAGCACTACATAATTGTTATTTTTGTATCAGCTTTGTTTTTAGCCCCAGATCTAGGCTTAACTATGCCATTGTTATCTCAAGCTAAAATTCTTTTTCCATGAATTAGTTATCCAGTTGCAATTTTGGAGTTTTAATAGTGTTTGTCTTTGGAGGTCAAAGAACAGATCAAGCTCCCCTGTGATCAAGCCCACAAAGTTACTCAATAAAGCATTTTTGAAGTCTTAGGATATGTATCAGGTATCAGTTGATGACTGATGCCCACATCAAAGACAAAAGCATTAAGTCACAGCTCAGCAATCCACTTCCTCCAGACAAGTAGCAACTGAGACTACGCCAGAGGAATGTAGAACTCCCAGAGCGGTCTCTTTTCTACCGATAATTTCTCTCTCATCTGAACGCCCCAGTTACGGCTGGTAGCACTTAATTGCATACTATCTCAGATGGAGGGTGGAAATGTGGAAGGAGCGTGGGGCTTGGACTCAGGAACCTGGGGACAGAGTTTCAACCCAGCCTGTGTGTGTGACCTTGAATAAGAAAGCCACAGAGTAAGTCGCTTTCCCAGAGCTAGAAAGTGACAGAGCCAGGATTCGAACCCAGATCTCTCCAACCCTCAAATTCATACGTTTAACCTGTACACCAGATTACAGGTATGAGAAGTCTGTGAGTGCCAGTCCTGGAAGGCAGTTGTGATGCCAGTTTTCTGTCTCCAAGTCTGTGAAGTCCTAGTAAGACAACCACGCAAAGCACCGGTTCCGTGCAGCACAGTGGCCTTTGTTAGCTAATGCCTGTCTCAGAAGGAGAAGGGATATCGGAAGCCATTTGTATTTCTAAACAAGGGACTGTATTCTCTCTATCTTTTATCTTTTTCATGGTGACTCCACCTTAGCGTGAGATCTGGTTTAAACCCCTCCAAAGACCGGGTAGCCAGCTTCTCTCTTCCCCTTTGTCCTCCATCCATTACCTGCCCCCACACACCCCTATGCTGGACCACAGCCTCTCTAGCTACATTCACATCCCCTGGGAGCTTGTAAAATTCAGATTCTTGAGCCCTATGCCAGACTTCCTGCCTTACCACCTGGGAATCCGAGTTGTAACAAAGTTCTAAGCTGAAGTATGTGTGCTGAGTGAAAAGCCACTGCTTTCTCATTGACAAGGGCCATTTTTAAGGACCTGGATGACTTGATGTCTTTTTGAGATTGTTTTAGGTTCTGACAGTAGCTTGACAGATGACCACTTGCAGACAATTCCTCCCCATATGCCTATGTACCTATTATAATGTGGGGTGGCTAATCAATAAGTTCATAAGTATTACTAACTCATTTAATCCTCACAACACTACCACGAAGCAGCTATTATTAATATTACCATTTAAAAGACAAGGAAACCAGCAGAGAAGTTAAATGACTTGCCCAATGCCACACAAACATGATTGAATTTTAAGTACTTTGATTTCCTCAGCAAGGTCAAAACGGTACGTGGTACATTATATAGTCAGTCTCCAGGAATAGAAACAGTATTTTTATCTATAGGCTCAATGGTGTACAACAGATCCCTAGAACTTACTCAGTTTGTATAACTGAAACTTTACTATACCCCTTGATTAGCAACACTTCCTTTCCCCTCCCCCAAGCCCCTGACAGCCGCCGCTCTATTTTTTTGTTCCTATGCAGTTGTCTGTTTTAGAAACCTCATATAGCAGAATCATGCACGACTGTCTTTCTGTCACTAGCTTATTTCACTTAGCATGATGTCCTCAAGGTTCATCCATGTGGTCACATATTGCAAGATTTCCATCTTTTTTACTACTAAATAATATTCCATTGCATGTGTATATCAAAATCACATTCTTTTTTTTAATGCAAAGCTCAACATTCGACAAGGAATGGAAGTCAAGGAGCCTCTTTTTTTTTACCTTTTGGCTCCTTTCACCCTTATCACTCATATCATGTTCTTTTTCATCCCCTCATCCATCAGGGGACACTTAGGTTATTTCTACCGCTTGGCTATTGGGAACAGTGTCACAGTAAACATGGGAATGCTAATATCTCTTTGAAAATTAGAGTGGTATTTTGATGGCATCTAACAGCCTTTTTCTTACAAAAGATGGAGCAACTGGGGCCGAGAGAGAAAGGTGGCCGGCCCGTGACGACAGACAGTGAGAGAATCCAGTGCTCTCTCCTCCTCCTCATCCCCCATCATATCTGCAGTCGTCGGAGGCGGAGCTGGGTCTGAAGGAAAGAGCACTGGACCGTGAGGCAGGGGCCTGGGGGTCTGGTTCTTAGCAGCATCATTTGGCTTCTCAGTTTGAACCTCAGGTACTCACCAGGCATCTTTCTGATCTAACATCTTTAGATTCTCTTACATCCCCTAATGCGCTTTACCTCATTATGTCCAGTCTTCTACGTCTGTAAATAGGAAACGGCATCCTCTTGATATAACATCCTCTAACTCCCTCTTCTCTCTCTGGTGTCTTTTAAAGAACTTAAAATTCTTTAGAAGCTAATGAATTTACATCATTACTAATTCCCATAATTTCCACTTATCAAACAATGGAGAAAAGTATCTTACTCACCGCCTGAGAAGGTTTATCTTAATTCTCTTTTGATTTAAAATAGGAGATTGATACTAAAAAATAATTTGAAAAGCAAATGTCCTTTCCAAATGAGGGCAGGGGGGAGAAAGATTAAAATTCAGGAGAAAAGGAAAGTGTCTCAGAAGAGAAGGGAACAGTGCCACCCACGCTAGGAAGCTCTCCTGGACTGAGGCAGCCAGCACCCCGGACACAGCGCATGGGTTAGTGTCAGGGACAGCGAGTCTGGAATGCATTGTTTCAACACTGTAGTCAAGGGTCAGCTGTAGGAAATGAAACCTTTGTCTATTTGGCTGACTGGAAATATCTGGTCAATGTGTGCATGCATGATTCATAAGCTTCATGGGAAGAATCCAAGCACCCAGTTCAAATGGAAACAACCTTATTGGAAAACACTGGAAAGGTTTATTTAATTGACTTATCATTTCAACTTGAGCATCATATTTGGACAGTTTTTTTAGGTGATGCTTTTGAGCCATAGGCCACCACTCACAGGCACATAAGAAAATATGTAATATTCTAATGTTTCTAAATATCCCAATTAAGGTATCACCAGTAGCAAAGTTTCTAAACATGTTTTCTTGAGCCTCTTCTCTTCCTTCCCTTCCCTTCCTGCCCCCTGCCCCCCAATTTCAATCTCTTTCCTCCCTCTTTGTCTGGAAGATAACAATCAAGGTGTTACCGGGAGAAAATATCTGAGGCTAAAGACTCTATTTCCTAGAAAGAGAGCAGGTTTGGGGCTCCCTCCCTTCTCTGTGTTCTTCTCTAAAGACCAAAAAGAAAGAAGAAAAAAGTCTTCCTTCTAAGCTGGGAGCAAAAAATCCCTGCAGCCACATCTCCTTATGGTGTTTCCAGAGGGCCTAGCAGGGGCTCGTGAGTTACCCCGAAGAGGATCGTACTTACCTACTTGATATCTACAGGCCATTAGGAAAGTTACTTAACTCTATAACCCAGAAGATCTAGAGGAGACCACACTTTGGGCTGAATTTCTCCAAATCCATCCAGCTGGCTGTAGAGAACTGCCTGTTCCCAGCTTGCATGCAAGAGTAGAAAGGTCTTCTCTCTGCACCTCAATGGGGAGTAAGTGCTTGTCAGCTCATTTACCACTGGCCCATTGGGGGAAAAAATAGGAGTGTGCCTCCCTTCGCTGCCACACTCCAAGAACCACCCCCCACCCTTC